TAACAAATATTCAATTATAATAAATAAAATTTTAAAAATTCAAATACAATTAACTAAAATTCTCTAACTATAAAATTAAATATAAATTGTTCAAATATAAAAAAATATCAATTCAACATAAATAGGTAAACCAACAATTTATTCCAAATATAAATAAAGATCAATCCAACATAAAAATAAATTAAATTTAAAAAAAAAAACAGTTATACCTTTACATAATCAAGAAGAAATTAAAGAGGTTAGAATTGACTAGGAGATTTAAGATGAAACCATGTCTATGGACAGAAAATATCAGTTTTTGCATCAAAAAATTTGCTTGAATGTAAGATTAATCAAAGATTAACATTTAAGAGATCCAAACCAAAAGAAAAAAAAAATCTGGAATAAAATCATTCATATTGGTAGATCTACTTCAAATATAATATTACCACACAGAATTCAGCAATGGATTTCACGACGGAGAGATGAATTTAGCTTGGTCGATGGCTTTGGATCCACAGATGGCTTTGATAGCAACAGTGTAGATGGATTCGCCAGTAGCAGTGTAGCCTAGTAGCAGTCCACTCCAGCAGTAGTATATAGTCTGGCTTTGGCAACAGCTAGGCGACAGTGGAGGGATTTAGGGTTACTAGGTTGAGAGAAAGGTGAAGGTGAAAGTGAGATTTTGAGAAACTAGAAGTGAGAAAGATTGAAAGAATGAGTGTTAAGTAGGAGCAATAGCAGATGAGCTGAGTTTGAGATTGAGTGCCGACGGCAGAAGGGGAGGGGAAGGTTAGAGTGATGAGATGAGTAAGTAAGGTTAGGGTTAAATGGTTAATAATGGGTTGGGTTGGGTAAAATTGAGTTAAGTTTAATTTTTATTGGATTGGGTTTGGATTTGAAAAAGGAATTAAATTTAAAATAAAATTAATTTACATATTTTTTAAATTTTTTATAAGGATAAGGATCCTCCATGAGATGAGAAAAATTCCCCATGAAATTCCGCGGAGAAAAATGTCCCCCATCTCCACCCATGAGGAGGAATATTCCTTCCTGTCCCGTCCCATGGTGGGGATCGGAACAAATTGCCACTCCTACCTAAGAACGATTATGGACTGGGAGAATCTTCATGGTCACGCTTAAAAAACCTCAAACCACTAGTTGCATTCCTGGTAGCAACTGAAAATTCAGGTTCCTCACGTACTGTACAGCAGAAG